AAAATTGAAAGGTTTGGTACCGTGACTGCAATTTTCCCTAATTTCAATGTAGGTTAAATGGGTCTAAATACTTATATTTATGTAGTTATCAGTTGACAATCATTATTAACCAAATACTCTATAATTGTATAATATATTAAATATCACTCATTTTTGAACGATTTTATTCTTATTATGCCCCTATTCGATTCTCATTTTTTTAAAATATATTTTTCTCAATCTTTTCTTTTTAATTACACATTCTTTAATAAAATAGTATTACACGTAAACCCAAAACTTTTTTTAATTTTTTAACCACACATTCGATATCAATCAATTATTTCAAAATACATTATTAACTTTTTAGCGGGGCTCAAACAAGCTTTATAATTCAATTATTTCAACAATATATTACTTTTCGTTTTTAATTATTTCAATTATTTTTTTCTATTTTTCGTTTTTCAATATGTATTTAATTTATTAATCATTTAAATTATTTGAACAATATTATTATTAATTANTGTTAAGATACAAAAAAGGTAAATGGGGTGGGGGGGATATAATACATATATATAATAAATAATTCATCTAATATTCAATGTATATTAAGTACATATGAAAAAAATGATTGTATTAGTTAGATGTTCAGTTCAGATCAAAAGGGTAAATGGAAAGACTATTCTAATGGACTTCCTCAACTATTTAAAATGTTTTTTTACAAACTAATTTTTATTTATTTGTATTAATTATTTTTTGTATTCTTATATCTTACAATATTATTTCAATAACACATATAAAGCATTTCAAAATAATGCGTAATGCACGTTCAATTATGACTAGTTAATTAAATTATCAGTTTCTCATTCTTTTATCCGTATTATCATTATCTCAATAACTAAATAGTTGGTTTTGATTAATCTCTGCTTACATAGTGCAGTGAGATTTTTAATTATCTAATCTAAAAGAATTGGTAAACGTGACTTAAATATGTGACATTGTATTTGTTGTTATATCCTATTGAACTACGGAATGTAAAACTATGAATTATTAGAAATCAATTAACTAATTTTGATTTTCTTAAGAGGGTTTCCAAATTTTATGGTTTCAACACTCACGTAGGTCTAATTTTTAATTAACTATTGTTCCCTATTTATACTCCTACCTGAAACCAACCAAAGATATTGTTTGTGCTCCACAATTAAGTAAATCTACCAAGAACAAATCAAATTAAGGATGTTACTTGAAGTGTTGAGTATGTTACTAAGTAGGTGTTTGGTGGGGATTAAAATAAAATTTTTAGTAGATTGTGATAGAAATTTTCAAAATGTGTGGTTGAAATGATGTGGGACCCATGAAAAATATGATTAATATTGATTGTTTGACTTTGACTTAGATTAAAATCTGATTTTAATCCGAAACAAACATCGCCTATGTTGATTTATCTAATGTCCTTACCAACCAACTAATCAATCTTATTATTCACTCTACAAGCACGACAAGGAACATGATATCAAATAATATATTTAGAGCATCTTTGGGAGCAATTTTTGTGAGATTTTAA